TGCTGTAAGTTACAATTCGAAATATGTTCAAAATGCAGTTACTATTGCTGGAGGAAATGGTCAAGGACGTGGATTAAATCAGCTTATACTTCCTGAAGGTGTATTTGTTGATGAAGATAATTCAGTATATGTTGCTGATTCTGGTAATCATCGAATTTTAAAATGGCAATATGGAGATAAAAATGGTCAAGTTGTTGCTGGTGGGAATGGTAAAGGAAATCGAAATGATCAATTAGATGGACCCATATGTGTTGTTGTTGATAAAAAAAGCAATTCTCTTATTATTTCTGATTTGGGTAATCGAAGAGTTGTACGATGGCCTCGTATACCAAATTCCACAGGACAAACTATTATATCCGATATTAAATGTTCTAGTTTAGCAATAGATAGTATTGGACAACTTTATGCTGCTAATTGGAAAAAACATGAAGTTCGACGATGGAAAATAGGAGATAAAGATGGTATTCTTGTTGCTGGAGGAAACGGACAAGGAAATAGTTTGAATCAACTTGATTGTCCTAGTCATATTTTTGTTGATAGTGATAATTCTGTTTATATATCAGATTATTCAAATCATCGTATAGTTAAATGGTTGAAAGGTGGACGAGAAGGTATTATTATTGCTGGTCAAAAAGGTTTAGGAAGTAGTCTTGCACACTTATCTCATCCACAAGGAATTGCTATTGATCAATTCGATCAAATTTATATTGCAGACTGTGATAATCATCGTGTAGTACGTTTAAGTAAAGGAGATACACAAGGAACTATTATTGCTGGTGGAAAAGGTCAAGGTGATCAACCACAACAATTAAATACTCCTATTGGTATAGCATTAGATAGACAAGGTCATCTTTATGTTGTTGATTCAGAAAATCATCGAGTACAAAAATATCAACTTACAACTAATTAAATGCACTGATCTTATCCATTAAATTTTTTTATGAACATTTATTTTTAGCCCAAAACAAAACTTTTTTTTTAGAAGAAGAAACAAATAAATTCTTGCTTTTTTTACCAGTTTAATTAACAAAGGAAAATAAACGAACACCATTTTATTTTCTTATAAATATTAAAAAAAATAACATCAATTTGTTCTATATATTTTTTTGATATTTATCGATATTAATTTTCATTGTGTGACTGTGTATGCTCATTCAATCGGAACAGATATATACCTTTTTTTTCTCTTTCGTATGTTTAGTTAGGCACATGTTTGCTAGAGAGTAATAGCAATTAGAAAAGTAAATGTTTATAATTATGATAATGAAAAATACATTTACAAATAATTGTAACAATTTTGAATTTATTTCGAAATACGAAAATGATTTGAATATGAAAAACTTAATCTTTTTTATTCGAAAATTTAAAAAAGTGTATGTGTCACTACGGTCTGCTTACGTTAGCAAAATTTTTCTTGTGTTTTGGTTGACAATGCAAACTAAAAAGAAAACTGTCAATAAAGCACCTATAATACGTCAACATCTGCGCACATCTTCAGTATCACTTCTGATAAAAAAAAAGTAGACCAACTCTTTTGCACGATCATCATTCAATTTCTTTTTTTTTGCTTTACGAATAAATTCTTATCAGTTTCTTTTATCAACTATTCTTTTTTTTTCACTTGTTTTATCGTAGTATATATATACATTTTGAAGCATATTCATTGACTAAATCTATTCACATTTTTATTAGAATGAAAGCAATCATCATTTTATGCATTTGTCTATTTGGTATCATTAGTCAAGTTAATTCTAATGCATCAACAGGAATTATTCAAAAAGAAAAACTAGGTGATTATGATGTTAAAAAAAAAGTTATAATGACACCGGTAAGCAATGAATCATACTTTATTTATTCTTATATCTATATTTAGGATGCTCCAAAACCTATTGGACCATATAATCAAGCCATTCAAACTAATTATCTTCTTTATTTAAGTGGTCAAATTGGAATTGATCCTAAAACAGGTCAATTAGTATCAGGTGATGTTCGAAATCAAACTCAACAAGTATTTCGTAATATACAAGCTGTTTTAAATGCAGCTGGATCAGATTTAACTCAAGTAGCACGTTGTCTTGTTCTCTTAACTGATATGGAAGATTTTCAAGCAGTAAATACAATTTATGCATCATTTTTTTCTTCAATGGAAAATTATCCAGCTCGAACAACTTTTGCTGTTAAAACATTACCAGCAAGTGCTAAAGTCGAAATTGAATGTACAGCATTTTCAAAAAAAGAATAATTATTTGTAATAGTATCTACATGTGATTTAAGAAATAAATATATGTTCACATGTTATGAGAAAGACTTGTTTATTTCAATGACTATATCACTCGAAATATATACATGGTCATTTAATAAAAGAACAAATATATTCAGATTATTGGTATAATGTCGTGATAATCAGTTAACAGTTTTTGCTCTCATGAACATGACAACAAGAAAGAAATACACAACAACTTAGTGTGACATATAATAAATAAAGACATTCATATCAATCACGATTATGAGTGTAATCTTTAATGCAACAGTTTTGCTAGTAGACTATGTCATTATCTGTTCATATTGACTGATCACACTTAATATGCTTGATCGATTACTTACAATGATTTTAAAATTTTATTCAAATAAGAGACTTTCGTTTGTCATTCGTACATACTCCTTTCTATTTTGAAACTTATCGTATTGCAAGCGGTACAAAAAAATTAAGCTGGTCTGATGGATTAAGTCATACTCGCAATAAGCATTTTTCTCATATAGATCATTTCGCCTTAACAATCAGAGAGTGTTGTAAACATCACATGAGTTTATTCTCTTTTTTTTCGTTCTGTCACCCCTGCATAAAGAAAGATATTTTCCGATTTATTTTTTTTTCTTTTCTACCAAGACTATCTTTTTTTTCCTAATGCTCTAGTCGAAGTGGTATCATCGTGTACAACTAACGTTTCCAGTTGTTTTTCCTTTTCTTCACATCATTCCAGAGCACTTTTTTTTCTCGTCGTTTCTAACTAGATTTTTTTTCTTTCCTTCCTTCCTTCCGTATGTAGTATGTCCTTGGCTGTTTTCCTCTTTCTTTCTTTCTTTCTTTTTACACTTACAGCTTGGCACATTCTATAGATTGAAATGCACACAAATGGGTAATATTACGCCATCATTATTATCTTCATTTAAAGTAAAATTTAATCGTGAGACACCATATGATTTTTATTTAAGTGGTGATCGAGTGCATGGTGTCATTGTAATTGTAACTAATGATAAGGACAATGATTTGAACTTTCGATATGGTCCTTTATATGTTGAACTCATTGGTGAATCAAAAGATGCTATAACAAATAATTATCAAGAAAGAATTCCAAATAATGCTCAAATATTCTTTCGAAAACGAGCACAAGTCATCAAATTACCTAATGATAATCAACAACTGGTGAGATAATATTCATTTAGAAAAAAAAAATTATTTTTTTTTTCAAACAAAATATTTAATACAATTTTTATTTTTACAAATAGGAATTAGTTATTCTTACTTTTATTTAGGAGACTAGCCATCGTCGAACATATAAATGGGTATTTGATGGTCTATTAGATTCTTCACTACCTTCATCATTACCACATCATGATGATGGTGATCCGTATATTGGTTATTATGCTCGTGTGTATCTTTATCGTTCAAATATATCTAGAAAAGTTCCGTTTCTCGTCTACACTCCAACTCCTATTCCATTCACAATTCGTCAATCGCTTCAGAACTATGCCATCGAAAGAAGTATACAACATGAAGATGTAACATTACGTGGTATTCTTTTAAATAATGGTTTTATCGTACCCGGTCAGATTCATATACTACAAATTGAAATTCATAATCCAATGAAAGTAACAATTAAATCAATTCGAGCAATACTCAAACAATATCGAAATATAACAGATGAAGAAACTGATTTTACTATTTTTTCTACTATTTTAACAGAATTTAAACCGAAAGGTTTCAATAATTCATATCATCAAGATACATACGAACTATTAATTCCATTAGAAAAATGTCAAGTTATGACACCAACATCATCGTATAAAAACGTACGATATGAACTTCATATACAATGTTCTATACATAGTTTATTTAATAGTCATTTTACATTAACATTACCTGTTATTTGTACTAGCGAACATCAACGAACATTAGAAATTATGGATGAATTAAAATCATTACCAGAAATTCTGCAATATTTATCGATTGATGAAGAAAATTTACCACCGACTTATGAAGATTTTGTTACTAGTCAACCTTTGCCAAAATATGAAGATATTTGTCATTAACTGTTATCGAAGAGAATTTATATTGAACAATTTTGCATTTATTCGTTTTTTTTTTAATTTGTAATTATTCCTTTTAAATAGCAACTCATGTACTCACACAAATAATTATAATAGTAATATATAAAATATATACCTTTTGTCAATCGAATTTCACAACATATCGGATCGCTTAGATTCACAACTCGAATTTTTTTTCTCAATAAATCATTAATTTTCATTTGAACTTTTTTTAGTCGAGAAATTTTTAAACTACTGAAAAGTTATTATTTATTTAATTTTCTAAATTCATTATTTTCAAAACGTTTTTTTATCAGGATTAAGAAACATAGTTTTGTAAATGTTATGCTCGATCGTCTTCATTATTTAACAACATTCATTATCAATTAATTTGACTGTCAGAAATGGTAAACCGTTCTTAGTACTAAGTATTCTTCTTTCAGATTGTTATCAAGTTTCACGTATAGACTATTTTTTTAATTAAAATTGACGCATGTATATTTGTAAATAGGATACGTGTTACTTATGTGTATTTACACTGTAATTTAGACAGATAACAAAAGAGCATATCGATGACGTAGATACTTAAGAAAATACAATTAATCAGGCATCACTCATTTTCTATTTTATAAAATGGCATCATATACTTATCAAAAATCCGACTGGGTATGACTATTTTGTTATAGATACAAATGAATAACAATTCAATTTTTACATTATCAGAAACAATTCTAACACGAAATAGTAAATTTGGTATTTTACTTATTTTGGAACCACCTTCATTACTTTGCAACTTCATCTTCGTTTTCTATCTTATAATAGATCATAATCTTCGAGTAGCGATTCATCATCATGTGATTTTAGCACTTCTTATTGTATCTTTATTAACAAATCTTATTGAAATACCACGTATTTTACATTATTTACGTATTGGTATTGTTACACCACAAACTACAATGAGTTGTCTTATGTGGCAATGGTGTGATTATTTACTATATGGTCAAGCTAATGTACTTATGCTATGGGCTTCATTTGAACGACATATTCTTGTTTTTCATAGCCATTTTGTTAGTACAACTCGAGGTCGTTTATTTATTCATTATTTACCATTGTTTTTAATTATTATCTATCTTATTTTATTCTATACTGTAGTTATACTTATCTATCCTTGTAAAAGAAATTTTGATTTTGAATTACCTCTTTGTGGTCAACCATGTTTTACCGATTATTCAATTCTTTCACTTTATGATCTTTTTATTCATAGTTGGCTTCCAACATTTTTTATTGCAATACTTTCTGTAAGTCTTGTTGTTCGTGTAATCAATCGAAAAAGAACATTATTACAACAAGATATTCCATGGCGTAAACATCGTCGAATGATTCTTCAATTATTATCTATATCATGTCTTTATCTTATTTGTATGGGACCTTATACTTTAATACAAGTTATTGATTTACTAGTTGGTTTACCTGATGGTGCTGAATATATTAAAAATGTCTATTTCTTCTATGTATATTGGTTGTTGACATTATTATTACCGTATACTTGCATTGGTTGTTTGCCTGAAGTAACGAATAAAATCAAGAGACGAATAAGAAGTTGGATAAATCGAACAAATATAATTACACCTAGTTTGTTTACTTGAAAATATAATATATTATATAAAAGAATTAAATATAATCTTTAAAAATTTCTTTTTCTTTTTATACAAAAAAGATTTTATTTAACGTGTGAATAACGATATAGTTATAAGATTTATTTTAACAAATAGCTAAATTTTAATCTTTTGAGTCCCGGCGTCGCATATATATATGTCCTGTGATGCTGTGATTTGTCAGAATTGCCTCTAGTGCGTTCTTTAATTGTTTAAAACATCTTTTTATCGTTTATTAAGTGATGCTACACAAGTGCAATTCTTCTTTCTTTTCCTTCGCTCTGTGTGATGATGCACTCTTTCTTCTACCCGGGTGCATTCCAATGCAATCACTTTTTTCCCCATCTTTTGGATGTAGCAATGGAAAATACATTTGTTGTTTACTAAATGCATAACAATATTTCTTTTCATCTATCTGCGTTTTGACAAAGTATGAACCATAAATATCGTATTCAGAATAGTCTCGAAGGAAATACGTCGTTTGCACATCTAATAATATTCGATGTGATGCACGATATATTTGTTCTGATTTCTTCAAGGATTATCATACAAAAATAGACTACTAATGATCTTTGACATAAAAGTATAATTTGTTTATGAAGAAATAAAGATCCTATTCCAGAATTTCTTTAAAAAAAATCGATACTCAATAGTTACTTATAACTCTTTGATATTACACGACTAATGATATTCAAGAATTTTACCTAATGTTTATAGTAGACAAGTAAAACATAATAATAGTGAATCTTCAATAGAGATTATATCATATAAAATATTATTACTTATTTGTTTACAATTAATAGTTGACTTATACTATTTTATTTAAATCTGATTGAGATATTAAAAAATACAACTACGAATATGATTAATTTCTCTTACATTTGTTTCTGCGAAGATCTCTTACTTAAATAATTAGTGAAATGCAAACCTCATTAAGAATAGATTCTATATCAATATATGAGAAATAGAAAACTTCTTTTACATGATTTGTGTCTGTAACTGAATAATATTCTTATAAAATCGATTCAATTATCTTCTGTAATTTGATCTTGAAAAATATTAATAAGAATGCATGATAAACCTGTATCTTTTGTAATTCATATTTGTCAATAATAATACAATGAAATCAGTATTTCCTTATTCAAATAATATTTTTGATCATGTAAATTAGATAACGTTCATCAGATTTACAAACGACTTTTTTGTTGTTATAAGTAAAATTTATCATTATATATCTTTTGAAAATAATTTCAAGATTTTATCTTTTTTTCAAGGTAGGACATACGGGCAACAAGATCAGCTATAAATATTTTGGAACATGTGATAGTTACTTCATATCATCTGATACCATGTCTTTGAAAAAATTTCAAGGTTTTACAATTTATCCAAATCGAGATATATCTGAAACATCAAAAAAAATGTCCTGAAGATTTTCTATTATGTTGAATACGTTGGAAAGTAGTGTTCTCTTGTATATTTTTCATTTTGATTATAGAACAGGCCATCTACACAAATCAATAGAGATTTGGTATTACAATCTCACGGCGCATCTTCTAAAGAATTGTCGTTTACCGACATTGAAATACATAAAATAAAATTTTTTTGATATACTCGATATATATATTATACTTAAGATCGTCATTATCATTTCTAGTAATAGATGTTCTAATATAAATATAAATCTACCCATACAAAACATATAAATATAATAAAGAAAAATAATAACGAAAATAAATTATACAGAATGAAAGAAAACGATATAAAATAACGTATTTTTCATGTGTATCATATTGATGTTGTTATAAAGGTGGTGCTTTTCTTCTATATATTAACAAACATGTTTATTAGAAAAAAAAATCAAGCACGTTTGTTTTTACTCATATCAAGGTGAGATAGGTAAATGATGATCGAAGGCAAACATATCTTCATCTATTGCATCGATATTCTTTTTTGTAAGTAGTCTTTTATCTTTTATACTTTTGTTTGTTTTTATTGTAATAACAAATCAACAAATATTCATAGGATGCACTCTGTTCATATAGTTACATATTATATTTCTTTATAAAGTTCAATAAAAAAAAAGATTTTATAGAGATGTAAGTCAATTAAGATAGTATCAATTAGTCCTTGACAAATATTAGTTTTCAAATGAGTAATTCAAGAGAAAAAAACAAAGTCAACAAGTATGTTATTCCAAAATTTACTTCTCAATAAATCTAAAAACAACCTGTCAACCTTTCTATATAGTTTCGTAAAATTTTGTAAATCTACTCATCTGTAAGTTAAATTCAATTTTTTTTGATTATCAATTGATTGACTATATATAATTCATATTTTCTTTATTTTTAGAGATAACATGATATTTACATTATAAAATTTCATAAATATCATGACAACATTATCACAGCATACTAGATTAATAAATACATCTGATAATAAAGATAATGTAATTCTCATCTGGTTTGATCCCGATAATGAATTATCTATTGATAGTGAACATTTAAAGATCCAATTAAATCAATTAAACCATAGAATTATTATTCCTACTGAATTTGAATCATGTATTAGTTATATTCAATCAAAAGAAAGAGAAAAAATTTTTCTCATTACATCTATATCATATATTTCTCAAATATTACCATATATTGATTTTCTTCATCAAATTTATTGTATTTTTATACTTTGTTCAAAAACTGATCAACATGAATATTCATTTATTCAACATACAAAAATAATTGGTGTTTATAAACAATTTGATTTTTTATATTCAATAATTCAAGAACAAATTGATATTTTTAATAATCAATTTGATTTATGGAGTTTCTTTGATCAAGATGAATATAAAAATAAAGATTTAACAAAACAATCAAGCAATTTTCTTTGGCTTCAACTTTTACATAATATTATTTTATATTTACCATATAATGATCAAGCTAAAAAACAAATGTTTAATGCATGTCGTTATTATTATCAAGATAATAAAGAAGAACTTAAACTTATTGATGAATTTGAAGAAAAATATCATTCATATGATGCTATTGATTGGTATTTAAATAATTCATTTCTTCGAAAAATAATTAATCATGCTTTAATTATGGAAGATACAAATCAACTTTATACATTAAGATATTTTTTAAATGATTTAATTCAAAATTTTAATCAACAAATTATTCAAATTAATGAAAAAAAATTAATTGCCTATGGATTAATAGAGTTATCAAATATTGAATTTGAAAAATTAAAAAAAAATCATAATAAACTTATTTCAATAAAAACATTTTTAATATGTCATCGTTCACGTTCATTAGTATTGGCATTATCTACACAATTACCAAAACGAAATAATTCTATTCCTGTTCTTTTTCAGATTACATACGATATACAAGATATTAATAATAATATAATATTATATCAACAAGAAGTTTTATTTCATTTTAATACAACATTTCGTTTAGAAAATATTCAACATGATAAACATATATGTTGTATAAATATGAATGTTGTCAATGATGGACAACAAATTCTTGAAAAATATATAGATGATATACATCGTCAGATAGATAATTTAAATATTTTAATTATTTTTGGTAAACTTATATGTGATATGAGTCAATGGAATCAATCACAAAAATATTTTGAACATTTATTGAATGATAATATAAATAATAATGATTTACCATGGACAGAACATAGTCTTGGTCAAATAAATCGTTGGAAAGGTAATTGGCTTGAAGCAAAAGAATATTATAAACATGCCTATGATCGAATGATGAAAGATGAAGTGAATTGTGAAAAAAATTGTGCTATTATTCTGTGTGATATTGGTGAAATATTACATTTACAAGGAAAATATGAAGAAGCATATGAATATCATGAAAAAGCATTAACAATTCGAAAGAAATATTATCCATCTTTTGATCATCCACATATTGCTACTAGTTTAGAAAATATTGGTTTAATTTATTATCAACAATTAAAATATAATGAAGCACTTGTTCATCTTCAACAATCATTAACAATTCGAGAAAAATATTTTAATTATTTTCATGTTGATATTGCAACGAATTTAAGAAATATTGGTTATATTTTTATTGATCAAGGAAAATATGATGAAGCACTTGAATATCATCAACGAGCGCGATTAATCTATGAAAAATCTTATTCATCTGATCATGTATTTATTGCATTAACTTATAATAGTATAGGTAATATTTTATATTTAAAAAAGAAACATAATGATGCACTTGATATGGTTCAACATGCATTAATAATACAAAAAAAATATTATCCATTTGGTCATATTGATATTGGTACAACATTAAGTAATATGGGTAATATTAAATATGGTCAAGGCAATTATGATTTAGCTTTAGATTTATATCAACAAGTATTAATGATACAAAAAAAATATCATTTATCTAATCATTTAGATAATGTTTGTATTTTAAATAATATTGGTTATATACTTGCAAGAGGTAAAAGATCATATGATGAAGCACTTCATTATCATCAACAAGCATTTCTAATGTTAAAAACATATTATCCATCTTATTATGGTCATATAGCAATTAATCTGAATTATATTGGTGATAATTTAAGTAAACAACGAAAATTTCATGAAGCTATTGATTATTATAGACAAGCATTAACAATACAAAAAAATTATTATTCTTCGGATAATGTTAATATTGCACATACACTTAGTAATATTGGTAATATATTAAGTGATCAAAAGAAAAATGAAGAAGCACTTGATTATCATCAACGTGCATTGAAAATTTATGAAACATATCATTCATCTGATCATATTAATTATGCAACTAGTCTTAATGATATTGGAAAAATTTTATATCGTTTAGGAAAATATGATGATGCATTTAAACATCATGAAAAAGCATTAATTATACAAAAAAAATATTATGATTCTGAAAATGCACATATGGCACTCAGTCTTAATTATATGGGTAATGTTCGAAGTAGTGAAGGAAAATATGATGAAGCAATTGATTTATATAAACAAGCATTACAAATTTATGAAACAAGTTCATCATTTCGTTATGCTGATATAGCAACAATTCTTAGTAATATAGGAACTAGTTTAAATCATCAAGAAAAATATGATGAAGCATTTGATTATGAACAACAAGCATTAAATATTCGACAAAGTCATTATCCATCTGCATATATGAATATTGCTGATAGTTTTCATTATATGGGTAATATAAGAAATAGCCAAGGAAAATATAATGAAGCTATTGATTATTATCAACAACAATTAAAAATTTATGAAAAATATTATCCAACAAGTCATTCCAATATAGCGAGTATTTTAAGTTTTATTGGTAGTAGTTTAAGTCGGCAAGGTAAATATGATGAATCATTTGAATGTTATAAACGAGCATTAAATATTTATGAAGAAAATTTTTCAACGAATTATAATCAAATCGCTCGTTATTTACAATGGATTGGTTTTGTTTGTTATGTTAAATTAGATCTAGATTGTGCACTTATTTATTATGAAAAATGTTTAAGAATTCGTGAAATTAATTTTAATTGGGATCATTCATCAATTGTTGATACAATTTCTTGTTTAATTGAAGTACAACGAGCACGAAATGAACATGAAATTTGT